GTGACAGCTATGGACGCTTTCGGTTCTGCCTGTCCTTCCCCAATCCATCTCACTCATTTTGTCCCTGGTCCCCCTACACAGCCTTGCCCCTCCTTCCCAAACCCCAGCCCTCTTCCCCTCTTGCTCCCTGAGCCCCAGAGAGTCCAGGAGGCCAGAGAGGAGTAAGTTGGGATTCCTTTTTATTCTCACTGCCCTGAGCCTGTGGCACCGGGCACTCCTGCCTGCTTGGCTGCCCTGCTCTGTTAATGGCGGCGGCATTTGGCCACCCTGCGAACCCCTTTGAAAAGCCGCTTGTGGCCCTGTTTGGAGCCCAGTAGCGACCTGCGCTGTCCAGACCGGCGCTGCCCAGATCCGCGGTGCCCCGGCCGCCGGCGCTGCCGTCTCTTGGCCTTAAGCTTGGAGGCCCGCTTCTTGCCCAGGCGGAAGGAGCCCGAGGTTCCCCTGCCGGTCACCCGCTGGAGCATGCCGTTGTCCACCAGCTTCTTGAGCACACGCTTGAAACGCCAGATGTTGTGGGCCATGTTGTAGCCGTTGTTGGTGACAGCCTTCTTCAGAGCCGCCAGGGATACGCGGTGGCGTGTCCCCTTTTCTGCCATAGCCCTCATGATGACCTTGGACATGCTGAGCTTCCGGTGGGCTTTGGGGGAGGTGCAGTGTGCGTTCTCACTCTTGTTAGGGGCTCCTGATGCGCTGGCCTGCCGGCCTCCACCCATGGCAGCGTTTGAGGCCGAGGGTACGGATGGGGACTGCAGCAAGGTGTCTTTCTGCATCTCTCCCTGGGATGGCTGAAGGGAGCTAGGTGCAGGGACCTCCAGGGTGGCGGCTGGAAGTCTCCACTGTGCCGCTGTCGATGGTGGGCGAGCTGCGTCCTGGCTCCTGTTCTCCTCAGAGGCTTTCTTGAAGGGCTTTGGCCTCGCCTTGCCCTGGGGGGGCTAGAAGGAGGACCAAGGATGATCACCCACAGTTGGCCTCAGCAGTCTTGTGCTGTGGGGTCAGGGGGTGGTGGGTTTATCTCTGTGGTGACCTCAGGGAGGCATTGTGAGGCCACCAGAATCCTGCAGAGGTCACAGTGGTCCCATAGTTCCCTCCTGGGCAGAGCAGACAGGAGGGGAGTCTGAAGTGTGGGCATCTGACCTTCCAGGCGCCCTGTGAGGGAGAGCTGTGTCTTGTGGGGGCCACATGGAAGGGTGCAGCCCGGGTGCACGCTTATGTACCTGTGCCTGAGAGGACTGCAGGGTGTCCTCAGCCCTCAGCGTTAAACTACCGGCTGGATCTCACCATCTCTGCTCACTGGGTCTTTGTTCCTCTGAGTCGGGAGAATACAAACATTTAAACATCAGAATTATACCAACATAATTTTTATGGGGAAATGTGCTTTCCGGTGTAAGCAGAAATGAAATTCCTTGATCTATGTAAGTTGATTTTATTCCTCAAAACAACTTTCTATGCCAAGCAATCAGAGGGCTTTGCTTTTATTTTCTGTGTTCATTGTTATTTTACAGACTCCCCCACCCCACCCGGTAGTTGAGATCAATGATTTTCCATATAAATTTCACAGAGAGGATTTCATTCCTCAGTTTTGGTGGCGGGGGTGGTGGTGGTGGTGCCAAATTTGATCAATTGTCTCTGTTGTGATTTTTGTCTTGTGACCAGTCTTTTCTTTGCTTTCTGCTTTGGGTCAGTTATGTCGCTTGGATATTGTCGGGGAAATCTGCTTCCCTGGTCAATCTGGAATCAATAACCAATTTTGCCAAGTGTGATATTAGCCTTTATCATCTTGGGTTTTGTGCTGCTGTTTTATTTCCACAAAATTCCGTTTTTCTGCTTTGTTCGATGTCTGCCATTTTCCCAAATTATCCACAAATTGTGATTCTGCGGGCTATTTTTCACCTCTATCAGATTTAACTGGTAACAAACTCCTCCAGGCCCCAAAGACACTGTGCCAGACGCACAGCATACAGGGTCACGGGTCAGCGGGGTGAGACCTCGGGCCACGGTGTGAATGCCCTCTGTTCTAGCGCTGATGTGGAAGGCCTGGGGGGTGGGGGAGGGAAAGGCCCCGAGGGGCCTGGCATCTGCTTTGGCTCTAAGAAAATATCCCCAGAATATTTTTCCACCCGTGTATTGCCAGAGTGAGGAGCCCGGATGTGGGGCTGGGGTGGGAGGGACCCACGGAGGAGTCCCTCCCTCCTAGGCGTCACTAGGTGGCTCTCTCCCCTCAGCCTCTCCTTGCTCAGGAGTGGAAAATTGTGTTTTGGAGAACTCCATTTGCCAAATTCCAGACTTCAGAGCTCACCTTAACCTGTCCCTGGCCTTAGACGGCACCTCTTCCCCTGACTGGGTCCCACTCCCCCCTGGGGACTGTGGCCCATTCTGGGTGAGGTGGCACCCGTTTCTGTAACCCCTCAGGCTCTAACTGGGGTCCTCACTGAAACTAAGACAGGCCTGGGGATGATTTTCCCTCCCCCACCTGATCAGTAACTTGGTGGCAAGTGGCGTCGCTTCAGCCTGCCCAGGACCCCAGCCACCCTTAAGAAAATCAATTCTTATTGTTTAGAATGAGAAGTCCCTGCTCTGACCCAGCAGGAAACCAGGTAGTCCGGGGAAATGTCACCACGCTGGGCCAACAAATATGGATGGGTTTGTGTAAAAAGGGCTTGGACACACCCCTGGGGCAAGTGTCCCATAATCATAGATACTGCCGGCTACAAGCCTGACCAGGGGATGGCCTGGGTGATTTTTCTGGATTAATGCATACAACTATATCGCGGATGAGGAAATAGAGGCACGGAGGGGTTGTCATTGGCCCAAGGTCACTTAGCAGTTAGCAGTGGAACCCAGGTTCCAACCCAAAGCTGCTCCTCCTGTTTAACCGTGGTGCTACCCAGCTCCTCAGAAAAACTGAAACTCGGCCCTGCAGCAGAAAGCAGGCAAGTGAGGGCATCAAATGAAAACAAGGCTGAGTCTTCTGAGGAGGACCTGAAGCTAGAGCTCAGGAAGGACTTCCCCCACAGGCGTGGTCATTCAGCGCTGCTGGGACTTCCAGAGGCTGAGGATGGAGCCTGAGGCTGGGCGTAAAGGAGCCTTGGTCTGAAACAGACAGGGACAAGGGCCAGTGATGGGGTAGGCTGAGCTGGGGCTGGGAGTGGGGGGGGTCAGGATATAAAGGGGGCAGAGAGCAGCCTGAGGAGCCAAATGATGAGATGCCCGTGTCTCAGCAGGACATGGGGAAGGCGTTCCAGGAAGGGAGACAGGTTGACAAAAGCTAGGAAATGAGAGAAGGCCAGGGAGATGGTAGGTTTACCAGGCGGACAAAGAGACAGGAGGGAAGGGAGACAGTTAGATGATCTGTGTTTGGAAAGAGTACTGAGAGAAGGAGCTGAGTGCTAGAAGGGACCAGGAGTCATCAGAATACAAGAGCAGAATACAGTCAGGGCCCTAACTGGGAAGAACACACCTGCAATATCAGCAACTCAGGAGGCTGAGGCAGGAGGATTACAAATTTGAGGCCAGTCTCAGCCATGTAACAAGGCCCTAAGCAACTTAGCAAGACTGTCTCAAAATAAAAAAAAATAAAAAGGGCTCAGGGTGTAGTTCAGTGTCAGAGTTCCCCCAGGTTCAATTTCTAGTATGGAAAATAAAATAAAACAACAACATTAAAAAAAACAAAAAACTAAAAACCCAAAACAATATAAAGCCTAGAAAACACCGGCCTCTGCAAATATATATCCACTGTGGATGTATTTAAGCCTGTGTCTCATTATCTACCACTGAGACACAATCTCATTTAATCTTCAGAACAATTTAGAGGGTGGGCATTATTATCCCAGTTTACTGTTGGAGAACCTGAGACACAGTGTGGTTAAGCAACTTGCCAGGCACACACAGCTTTGAGCTCAGACTGTTGGCACCCAGAGCCTGTGCACCCATCACTGGGCACAAAGAGACACCATGGAGTTTCCTGTTTGTTCCCTGATCCCACATGCTGTGTAAGCCCCCTCACCACCCCCCCACCAAGAAGTAGTGGGGCAGCCTGCAGGGTGGTTCAGAGGCAGTGCCAGGCCCTGGGGGACTAACCCTGACAGTGACTCCTTGCCCGTGTCTCCAGCATCCAGATGGTCCACCATTACACCATCCACGGGAACACAGAGGAGCTGCGGCAGATGGCAGCCAGCCGCGAGGTGCCCCGGCCTCTCTCCACCCTGCCCATGTTCAATGTGCGCACGGGCCAGCGGCTGCCTCCCCGCGTGGACAGCGCCCAGGTGCCCCTCATCCTGGACCAGCACTGAGCGCCCTGTCAGGTAGGTCCAGCCGGGCAGCGCCAGCCTTGTTTCTGGAAACAGGATGGCCCCTGTCTCAAAGTTGGGGTGATGAGGTCAGGGGAAGGCAGGGCCCAGAGACCAGCCAGTTTGTGGCAGGGGGCACTCAGGAGGGTCAAGGTTATACCTCCCGCTGCACTCAGGGTCAGAGGTCAAGGTGGGGAAGCAGGCGACCCGAACCGGGGTTTGGCTCTGTCTGTCCTCCTGTCTGTCTCCCCTGCTTCCAGTTCCAGCCCTGACCTCAGACTCCCTTTTCTCTCCACTCAGAGAGCTGCAGACCCCTCCCACTGGCTGATTCTTGCTCCCGGCCCAGTTGGACCCCAGGCTCTGAACAAGCAGAGGGATGAGGTGGGGAGGGCTAAGGGTGTTTGGAGTCAGGACCCCCAGAATAAAATGCCTGCTGCCCTGCTCATCTGATGCTGCCAGCATGCTCTTCCCCACAGCCTCCTCCCAGCAGCCTCCTCCTAACAGCCTCCCGCGGTCCTCACTGTCTACATTTCCCTTTTGACCTGCTGGGAGTCCCCGGAGGCTACCAGCCAACTCTGGGCTCCTAGCATTTTGCTGTTTGCTCAGATTTTCAGGAAGAGGGAAGGATCTGCTATACGCAGCTCTCATAGGAACCTGACAATGAGAGAATCCTGGATCATTACATCCGTTTTATAGATAAGAAAAGTGAGAACTATGGAGAGTAAGTGATTGACCCAAGGTCCCAAAGCAAGTGGCTGGAGGACTGAGGGGCTGGCCAAGCAGAAGATCTCGACCCTGACCTGGACACTTAGTTAACACCTGTCACAGTCCCTTGGAGGGGGTCTCTTTGTAGGTTGTGTCGCGAGAGAAGCCAATCTAGAAATGGAGAGAGGTTAGGAGGCAGGACAGAGTGCCCCAGGCTTGAGGGCTGCCCTCCTGGTGGCTCCTCCAGAGAAAGGACAAGAGAATCCGCACAGCTTAGAATACTGAGCTGAGTGCCACAGAGTGCCTTGTCCCCAGGAGCCCGGGAGAGCTCAGCTGGCTGTGCAGGGGCCCGAGGTTATTTTTCCAGGTGGCGACAACCAAAGTGGGCCAGCTCACTGCCATCTGTGCCTTCTCCAGTCTCAAGTTTTACCACTCCCATGTGAGGGCAGGTCTGAGATCAAACCGGAGAGGTGACCCAGATAAAGCAGAGGAGCAGGGACACATGGCTCAGGCTTCTCGAGGTGGCAACGGCAAGAGAATCCAGCCAGGGCCTGGCACCCAGCACCCTGGCCCGCCTCACCCTTTCTCTGCTGGGGAATGCCAGCGTTCCCTCATCCCGACACCTCCCTAAAGGTTGCCGTTCTGGTCTCTGCCCTAACGGCGTGTTCTCAAAGAGGCCTCCCAGTCTGCCTTTGGCCTTGGGACCCCCTCACAGTCCTCCTTGCTCTCTGAGAGATGCCCCGTGGGCTCCCTGCTCCGCTCTGTGTGTGCTCAATGAGTGCTTGCTGAGCGATGGCTCTAGGTGCCCCCTCTACCCACAAGGGGGCACACACCGTGCCAGCTCTGTGCCTCTGCCAGCCTCAACGAATGCTTATGGACTCAGTGTTCCGTGCATTCATTCACTAGCTAATGGCCATGGGGCACTGGGGGTGGGGGCAGGAGAGGCTTTAGCAATAGGCTTGCTTAGCCCTTTGCCCAGAGAGGAGGAGCAGCCTCCTTAAGAACTAGGCGCAAACCCAGACAGACCAGGGCGCCTCTGCTTCTCCTGGGCCCATCATCTGATGGAGAGCTTGGGGAGTTGCAGGGAATCTGCTCAGACCAGAGGCTTGGAGCAGCCGGCCTGCTGCCTGGGCTGGCTCCCTCCCGCCCTGGCCCCCTGAGGAGGGGGCTGCAGTCTCCCCAGTCACCGTCTGGCCCCAGCGGCAGGCAGACCTTGGGCCTCCTCTGTGCTCTTCCTGTGCTGGCCAGGGATGGGGGAATGCGAGGCCAGCTCCCCGCCCCCTGTTTCCCTGCCCGGTCTTGGGGTCTTGGCAGCACCTTCCTTCCCGCTCAGCTCCAAGGAGCACACGGGAGTCTGGCCGCCTGCCTGAGAGGAAGTGGCCCAGACAAGTAGCCGGAGGATGGCGTGACTGCAGAGGACGGAGAGCCGTGCCCAGGCACACACACGCGACGACAGCCAGCTGCCCTGGTGGAGCACGAGGAAGACTCAGTCACACTCAGTGCTGCGCTGCCAGCCCCTCCCAGAAGGGCAAGAGTCTACTGCAGTCACACCCCACTCCCCACAAACCCTGGCAGAGGGGGAGCTGTCCCCAAGCCCCACCTTCACCCCCAGACAGCCCCACACTCTGCTCCCCATCTCCAGTCCCACTGTTGGCTGGGCCTGACCACAACACGTGGCCTGACTCTCCACATTTCCTCAGCCCTTTCAATGGGCCAGACCTAGGGACACAGGGCCCCACCTACAGTAGGCCTCAGCCCCTGGAGGCACACTTTCCCTGAGTAGAACTGGGTGGGGCTTTGCCACACCTCAGCTGCTCAAGCGGGTTCCCTCATGAAACAATCATCATACCTGCCTTGGGCTGTTGGGGGTCTTCCTGAGGACAAGGCACTCTCGTGGCTCCCAGGAATGGGGACCTGATTAGACACAAGCCCTCTGCAGTCTCTCCAAGGCCAGCTGTCCTTGAGGTCTCCCTGCCTCCCTTAAGACCCAGGCTAAATGGACTCCATGTCCACCTAGGCCTTCTGAAGAGTTCAGCTTCTCCCTGTGAGTTAGGGCGGACGCCTAAATTCGCACCCTCCTTGGTACAGAACCGCTATGTGGTGTGGCGCTGCCCTGCCCACTTGAAATGTGCCCGGTCCAAACTAAAGAGGTGCTGTTAAGTAGAGGGATGAAGTTATATTTGGGGAGATACTGGGCTCAATAAAAAATATTATTGAAATTAGTGTTTCTTGTTTCTTTTTTTTATTTTTTTTAATGTGGCCACTAGGAAATTAAAAAAAGACAGGTGTGGCTCACATTCTATTTTTAGGGGAAGGTGCAGGTTCCATGACTCCATATACTTTATCTCTGCTCCAGATCGACTCTGGCTCAGAACTCAGTCCCTTCCATGCTTTCTACTGAACCTGCTCACTCAGCCCTCCTGCTTGCATCTGGGGAACCCTGGTGGGGAGTGAAAGAGTTTGTCCCACAAAAATGAGTCCCCCTAGAACTTGAATGTTGGCCTCCTTGCTCTAGAATGTGCTTGGGTCCTGACAATGGCCTTGGTCGTCCTCCTTTTTTTTTTTTATAATTTTTTACGTTGTTAATGGACACAGTGCCTTTATTTAATTACTTAATTAATTTATTTTTATGCGGTGCTGAGGCTCCAGCCCAGTGCCTCACCCGTGCTAGACAAGGGCACTCACTACCACTGAGCCCCAACCCCCGCTCACCATTGTCCCCTTCCTTGCTTCTCTGCCCTTCTCTTTCAGCAGCTCTTCTTCTGGGTCCCTCATTGTCCCATGCGAGGAGAATACCAATTTTTCCTGCACCCGTGGGTATCAAACTCATCTCCTCCCTGGCTTGGTCTTGCACAGCCTCTGCTCAGTGTTGAAATTTCCAAGGGTCTAAGGATCTGTCATCCTCCCAGACAAAGGCCAGCCCTCTTCCCGGGTCTTGTCTCTTGGGCCATCCACATGCCACCCAGCCCAAGTTGGTAACTTCCAGAGCACACACCCAGAGAGAGGGCCACAGAGACACAGCTTCTCACTAGCACCAGGGCTCCCACTGGTGCTTGGACTTCAGGTGATAGTCTGTCCCCACACTCACCCTCTCCTTGTCTCCCCACACCCTCCCTACTCATATCTGGTCCATCCTCCTTCACACAGGCAGACCCTCCTCTGCCTATGGACACATATGTCCCAAATGCTATGACCCATGCCTTCCACAGCTCACATGGCATCTCCTCCACTGCCCCACATGTGACAAAGCTGCCCTCATTGTGTACAGACTCCCCCCCGCCCCGCACACCTCTCCATCGCACACCCCTCCACACATGTGCGGGACCTCATGCCATGGATAGGACACCCGTGGGTGGGCAGAGCAAGGCACATTCCCATTCATGGGCACCTACCAGGAGACCCAAGTAGGGACCCCCAGAGGCACCTGCCTCACCTC